CCGCCGCTGACCCTACCACTTCTCCGACCGCCGCTGACCCTTCCACTTCTCCGTCCGCCGTGAACCCTTTCACCAACTCCGTATCCACCGCCGCTACTTCCGCTTCTACTCCTATCATCTCCTCCACCAACTCTCCTTCCGCTACATCTCCCTCTTCCACCCACTCTATATCCGCCGCCTCGTCCTCGCATACATCGCACGCCACCTCCCCTTCCTCGCACCCCATCCTGTCGTATCCGTCCATCACCCTGTCCATCACCACCCGCCGGCATCGCCGCCCACCCATGAACTCCTCCATCGCCTCCTCGACCAACGCCTTCCTCTCGGCCTTTTCCTTTTTTGCCCTACCCTGCACCGTGTCGCTGCCCTTGTGCAAAACAATCACCGCCTCGCTCTTCTCGCCGTCTCGCCCGGCCCGCCCGCTCTCCTGCGCGTAATCCCGTAAACGCCGCGGCGCTCCGGCGTGCACCACCATGCGTACGTCCGCTACATCGATCCCCATCCCTAATGCGTTCGTCGTGACAATCACCCGTCCAACCCTCGCCCACTCGCGTAACCGTCGTCCCTTTTCCTCCACCGTGTCGACCGTGCGATGAAATACCGGACACGACAATACACCCCCTAACCGCTCGACCTGCTTGACCTCTCCGCCATATACCATGATCTTGCCGCTGCGATACCGTCCCAACCCTTCCTGTACCACCCGCCTAACAACCCCATCCTCCTCTTCTCCGGCCGCTACGAACCGCACCCGGTACCGTACATTCCGCCGCGTCGTACGTGACCGGAACAACCGGACATATTGTCTGTCCAACCTCATCCTTGTGTACAACTCCCCAACGTCGGCTGGTGCTAACGTGGCCGTTAACAACACCACTTGCACGCCCATCTCCTGCAATGCCGTCCCCAACTCGCTCATCCGGGGCCGGAACGCCCGGTCGCTGTCCAAAACCGTGTGGCACTCGTCGACGACGATGCGGTCCAACTGCCCCCGCGCCTGCAACCGGTTGACGAACGACCGGAATCCCTTCGTCACGGCCGATTCGGGCGTCACGAACACGATGGCCGCCGCCCGGTTCGCGCCTTGCCCTTGCCAAACGTGCGCGTCGATCCCCATCCGCTGGCACCGCCCGTACAAATCCTCCCGCAACGCTACCGACGGCACCACCACGACCGTCACCCCGTCCGGCGAACAAAACGCCGGCAACATAAACGACATGCTCTTGCCCTCCCCGGTACCCGCCACTTGTATGATCGCGCTCTCGCCTCGTACGATCGCTCGGATGACGTCCTCCTGCATCCCACGGAACTGCGCCTCCGGTCCCATCATCTGCTTCAACTGCCCCTGGATATCGACCCGCTGGAACCGGGCGAACCGCTGGAACCGCGCCTCCTCCCGGACGCTCTCGAACACATCCACCTTCCGCTTCCCCACCACCGCGCCTACCGCCCGGTCCTCCACCCCCAACCCGAAAAACCGGTGCCACTGCCGGCTCACTGCGCGGAACTGGTCGCGCCGCGCCGCCGTCCCCAACACCCCTTGTTGCAACTCCCGCGCGTACACCAATCCGGCCGTGTGCGTGCTGTGCGCCGCCTGCAAATCCCATGTGTTGTCCAACGTGCCCTCGTCGTCCTCGTCGAACTCCTCGTTCTGCCCCACGTCGTCCCCGAATGCCTTGTTCAAATACCGGTTCGAAATCGCGATGGCGATGTGCCTCCATGCGCTCACGCCGACCCGGCTACCCAAAACCCTGCCGCTGTACTGCTGCATGACCCGCCGCATCCGGTCCGACGTCCACTTCCTCTCCCGGGTCCATGCCGCCTGCCGACGGGCTCTACCGTCGTCTGCTTCGCCGTGGCTGTCTTCGCCCTCGTCTTCGCTCCCTCCATCGCCCTCGTCATCTCCGCCCTCCCGCCGGACGATCTCGTCCGCCCACAAAAACGCGCTCGGCGCGTCTGCCCCCTTGATCATCCCCTGCACTTGCTGCCAAAACGGCAACACCAACCACAAATACCACACCAACAACTCGCCTACCTCGCGCGGCACGTACCGGTGTATCACCTTGGCCTTACCCGTCTGCCGGTACGTCTTGTGGTACGACGTCATGAAACACACCATCCCCCGGTCCACGAATATGTTGCGCAACCCGCCGTTCTCCGTGTTCGCATGCCGGATCTCGATGATCTCCCACGACCGCGCCGGCATGCCGCCGCTCATGTGCATCAACACCAACATCCCCTCGCGGAACCGCTCAACGGCCGCCCCGTACTGGCGCACCGCCTCGGGCCGGTACGGCACCTCCCTGCTCCGGTTGGCGATCCACTCGGCCCGCTTGTCCGCACGCCCTGCGATCTGCTGCCGCACCCAACCGTCTCCCCTCGCCAACCACGTATTGCGGTCGTCTTGCAAAAACGAATAATCGACCGTCGTGTCGCTGTGGTCGTCCTCGAACCGCCCCCATTCGATCGCCGGCACCGCGTCGAAACTGTCGTCCCTGACCATCAACAACTCGCCTAATACTGTCCTCATCTCCCGCGCGGCCTCGTGCATCATGTCGCCCAACTCGTTCATCCCGATGCGAATCCGCTGGTACGTCACCTGGTCCCCGATCCAATCGACTAACCCGGCACTCGGCGTCGTAAACTGGATCCGCATCCCGTACGTACGTGTATCGAATATCCAATCCATCACTGCCGGCTCCGACGTCTCGGAAACGACCATCATGAACCGTACCGCCTTGGCCCTCACGATCCGGAACAATCCGGTCGCCGCCTCTTCCGCCGCCTCCCGGCTCATCCTCCTCTGCAACGCGCGGACCTCGTCTTCTCGTTCCACGACCGACTGATATACCACCAACATGCGCGCCATCTTGATGACGGCCGAATACTTGGGCGTGTAATGGATCGCCTCGACCCAACCGCCGTCCTTGCGTATCCCCATCACCGCCAACCCGCTGATCACCGCACTCTCATACGGCGAATCCTTGTACCGGTGATCAAAAAACGCGACCATGGCATCCAAACACAACCGGTCGACTCGGTCCTCTCGTGCTTGCCGTTCTGCCTCGCTCGGCCTGGCGACCTCCTCGGCGGGTATGTGCCTCTCGACTTCCTCGCAAAATGCGTCGAACAAATCGCCCTGCTTCTCGGTAAACTCGTATGGCGGCCGGTCGTCGTCGTCCCAATCCTGCGTGCGGCGTATGAAACATAACAACTTCCGATACACCTCCTTGGAACGGGCCCACGTGTCGTCCTCCATCCGGCCCTCGAACGGCTTGCTCGGCTTGATGTGAACCTCCTTCCGGTTGATCTCGAACAACACGGCGTGCCCACTCCGCTTCAATACTGCCGCACGCGCCCGCCCCATCACCCGCTCCATGCTCTCCCACATCCGCTTCAATCCCGCCTCGTCGTCTCCAATCGGCTCCACGGAACCACGTAACCGGTCGCGGTCCAACCCGGCCAAATGCTCCGCCCAACCCACCCGGTTCAACCACGCGTTCGGCTCGGCCTTCTCGTCGCCGGCCTTGATGGCCCGCTTCCTCGCCTTGAAACGTCCTGCCTGCGCCGTGTGGATCCGTGCCAACTGCTCCTCCAATGTCTCGCCCTCCCCGTTGCTTGCCGCTTCCTCGGCGCTGCCCCGACCGACCTCGAACCATCCGCTGGCCACGCGCGAACGGAAAAAACGCTGGCAACGTACGCCCGTCGTCCACGGCACCTGCCTTTCCTCCTTCGCCCTCTTCACCACGTTGCCACCCTTGGTCCAACCACTCACCCACCCGTGCTCCTTCCGGCAATGCCGCCGTATACCGGCGATCGTTCGTACGATGAATCCGCAACGATCGCACCGTATACCGTCTGGCTTGGGTGGCGCAATGAACCGGATGGGCGTGACGGTCGGCGGTGGGAACTGGAACGAACGCAACTCCTCCTGGCCCCCGGCAATGCCGGGTATGTCGCCGATGGACTCTGCAATCCGTCTTCGCTCCTGTACCTGTATATGACCATGATGCATACGCAAATGGGTGGTGACCTCGCCTGTCACGCATGCAAACTGGCATTCCTTGCAAACAACAAATGGGTACTCGGGTATATGCACGAATGGCTCCATGGCTATCGGCGCCGTTGGAATCACCAATCTGGAAAATTCTTATCCTCTGCTCCC